AATACTTCTGCAAATATCATAAGCAAAGAGGCTATTTTGAAAGCCTGAGGACTCCCACACCTTGCTATCAGTGAGTTTTCCTGGCCAATACACGCAAGAGGAGGATGAAATCTGTCACACAGGCTTTATGGCTTGCACTGCTCTCTTCAGCCTGGACTTGTACGTTGCAAGGATTTTGTTTTGTTTTTAAATACAGCTTTCCTGATTGAAATCAGGCTCGATGCAAAACAAATGCCAGCTCCTGCAGCTCTCAACAAAAGCTGCATATTAGAAGCCTGTGTTGCTGATCCAGAATATATTATTCCATAGAGGGTAAAGAGGATTTTCAGGTTTAAAGTCCTGTTATGCAAATCAGTTGTCTTCTGTTCTGCCTTTGCATTAACACAGCCTGTCATAGTTCTTCCACCACACTTCATCTTCTATTTCCAAATCTACATTTTTTCAGACAATTTGATTTCAAAATTGTATTTACATTCTTAACATCTCTTAATGAGCTTATTTCATTGGTAGTGTAAACCTAATTATGAGTCACACCAGGGGCTCTTTTGCTGTGAATATTTCCTCCAATTTAGCCTGATCAAAGATTGCTGGGCCATGTGAGAACCACAGCTTCAGACATTGCACTCACGTAGCTTAAGAATGAGTTAAATATTTTAAATAGAAACAGTCTGCTCCAGTTGATTTAAATTTTTGGAAGAAACCAGAAGCTGTTTCAGACTATCTTTAAAAATGAAGAGCAGTCCTTAACTGATACCTTTGGGATGTATGTTTTCCTTTGGATGGCATCTCCAAATGAGCAAGTTCCAATAGCTGTTACCTTGAACTTAGTCACCCTCAATAATAATGCTAATTAGTGGATTTACATTATGAATTTTAAAAAGTAGATTTTTTTTTTTAAACTGGATTCTCTCTATCCAGGGCTTTCATGTATTTTTCAACTGCTTTTTATGCCTGTTTTCAGTGTTTTATACTTTCATTGAGCACATTTTCTCAAATGTAAAATGGAATTCACTTACTGAAAAATTATACCCCAACTGTGTGCATGGCAGAAAAAGTCATCACTGACAACACTGCTATGTGTCTTCTGCTTAATCCCTTTCTCTGGTAAGCTGTTGGGCCTGCATGTGAGGGTAGAGCACAGGGTAGGGAACTATGAGCTCAAGTTCTTCTAACCTAACCGCTGCCTAGATTTTAAAATCTGATTCCTGTATTTGGGTTCTTGATTTTTCAGAGGTAAGCTTAGCAATCAGCTGCCCAAGGTGTTAGCTGTTTGTTCCTCACTTTTCAGGCAGCCAATGTGCAACAGTAAAAGAGGCATAGTACTGCATAACTGCTTGAGAAGGTGTTATCACTTCAGATATCTTCCAATCAGTCTTTGTATGCCATCACTTAATGCCTGGGAGATATTCAGGAATTTAGATGTTTATATTCTCCATACCAAGTTTAAATCACAAGCAAATCATAAGCAAGCCACCATGCTTAGTTAGAACTCCTCCCAAATAGACCTCTCAGTCTGCCTCATCACTTTCTGTACCTGTTAACAAATGTTTAGTATTCCATTCATATGCTGAGAAATTTTTTTTTTTTCAATGTGTGCTGCACTTCAGAGAAAAAAATATGGCTTTTAACCTTAGGCATGTCTATGCAAAATCCTCACTGCAGCTGTGAAATGGAAGACACCTCATGCCTGTGGTGAGGAAGGAGCTCAGTGATAGTGTTTTAAGCCACCTAACAAGTCTTGATGGTCCTAAACAATCTCACCTGAAGCCTCCACCCACACTCATGGGCCAGGGCTCCATTTAAGCCTGTTAGAATTAGAATTTAAGCCATAGAATTGAGCCTGTCGTCCTTATAAGTGTGCTTGTGTCTGGTAGCCTTAGACATGTTACCTAGTTTCTGCTTGATGTTTGTTGGGCTGCTACTTGACCCATTCCTGGTACCCTAGTGCTGCTTGCTTGTCTGTGGTGCCATATGCTGCTGGTGAGGTCAGTGACTTGCTTCTGTAGTTGCTCCCCCTTGCTTTCTATTAGGGTGAAGCCCTGCTCTTGCTACTCCCTGATCCTCAGCCAGGAAGCCACATGAAAGAGCTGTCTTCCTGATCATGCTTGTAAGGGAGCGAAGTGCTCTGCCACAGACGGCTCCTGCTGAACTCTTGGCAAGAGGGCATGCCCATTCTCCCTTGCTGCTGCAGAGGTGTGCTGGAAGAGATGGAGGCACAAGCTTGTGCTCTGCCTAACTGTTGGCAATGTTTAAGTGCAAGTATCATTATTATTTAGTTGCTTCTGCTAGTCTTGCGTGATGCAGGAGGCTGTTAAGGAACCATAGGCCTCACTTTATGATCCTGCCGCAAAGCTCAAAAGATTTAAGTCTCCTTTTGATTCTGTCAATTTTATATGTGTCAAACCTGCACAGAGTTGCTTCTGGCTTCCACAGAGGTAAGGAGAAAAGTACCTAATCTTTAAGCTTATGGTTGAGAGATGCTTTTAATTTTTAGCAAATATTTATGCACAGTGTCTAGTTGATATGCACAGACAAAAAGCTATAGCTAGAGGAGGCATAGCATAAAGGAAACATCAAACAAAAGCACAGCCTTTTTATACCCATTTAAAAAGAAATAATATAGTAATGAAAACTCTCAAGGAAGTGGAGAGTGGGTGAGCAAAATCAGATCTAAGACAATAAAAAAAAATCTTATATGAAACACATTATTCAGCAATTAAACAATATGTGTTGTGTGAGGGAGCACCACAATACAATGCTGACAGCAGAAATACTGAGAGGTTCAGTTTGTTGACCTTACTTAGCATCTTACTTCCCAGCTTATCCTGCTGTTTCCTCGGGAATCGTTTTCCAAATAAAGCACTATTGAATTTAATGTCAGTGCACTGGCAGGATCTCAGCAGACAAAAGCAATCACTTAAGGATAGACTCTGATACTATTTTGTGTTTTGTGCTGTTCTTGTTTGAAGCAATGTGAATCTGTACTAAGGCCAGTTAAGTAAATTGAATTAATCTAGTTTTAATTGTATTTTGATTTCCAGTATAAGAAGCCCATACCAAGATACCAATTTTTTGGGTCAGCTGGGTAATGTAAATATGTATTTCCTTACTGCATTATGAAATGCTAACAGAACTACTACAGCTGCAAACAAAGGTTAGCAGCATACCATGACCCAGAAAGATGAACTTCAAGTTCTTATACACAAATATTAGTATAGAAGTACTTTCAAATTAACGAGCCCTACAACTGAAACAACATCTTGTACTACCTTGCCAAGTCAAAAATGTAATATGTTTCAATGTGGACAAGGGACTCACGTGTGACCCTAAGAAAGGCTGTACTAAGTTGGAGGGGAGGGGAATCACTGCTAGACCAAACTGACGTTTGTTTCACTGGCAGAAATGCAATAATGCTTTCTTCAGGATGCCTTCCAATCTGCAGCTGTGAGACTTTCTGAGACAGAAGTTATAGCTACAACTTTGTGTTTAAAAAAACCCCAAACAAACAAACAAACAGCACCCTAATGACATGTTCTCTCATAAAATCATAAATTATTTAACTTCTTTCTAAAATCCATTTTAGCTCCCCAACCTTCCAAATCTGGCACAGACTTTGTTTGTGGAAACACCACCCTGACTTTTTTTATTTTTATTTCCCCTTTAAATTGAAATCTGTTTTGTTTTCATGCCTCTCTTTCATAACAAGACCAATTGAATAATGAATGCTATGACCACATTCTTCCTTCTCTTTATCTTCTGTTTGCATCTTTATTTTTCAATTCCCTTTAGGATGTAGGAACAAACCTGAATTCTGTACCCAAGCTGTGGGCTGACCATAAACTCGTAGGTTTACTACAGAAAATGATTTTGTATAGGTCTGTATAAGTCTGTCATCTCCCTATTCACCAGCTTTCCCCCCCATTGATGAATATAATGTCTGTTACAGATTCATGTGGGATTCTGCTCATAAACTGTTTCTTGAGAAAGCTAACTGATCTTTCACCTCTGATTTAATACCTTATTAATCTGTAAGAGGATCCTCTTACTATGTGACAGATTGTTTTGGGTTTTTTTCCCCTCTAATAGCTTTTGGCAGGCGACCTTGCCAAAAACCTCTGAAAATCACCCCTTTATCTACCTGCTTCTGATTCAAAGAATGCTGGTAGATTTCTGAGGCATGGTTTCCCTGTTTGAATCTGTCCAAAGCCCTTATGCGGTTTGTAATTTCTACTTAATTCTGTCCTCTACTGTAGCTTCTATCGAGTTGCCTGATTTCAAAATCCAATTTAACAGTTTGCGGTTTCTTGCAACCTCCTTAGAATCCTGTTTTTTTTTAAAAAAAAAAAACAACCCACAAACCTGGCCTTGCAGTTGCCCATTCCTATGTCCTATGCTGCAGTGATCAAGAGTTTGTTCATTTTGTACGTGACTGACTTCTCTGGGTGGGTAGCCAGTTGCAGAGGTAAGCATGAAGCTGTGGCATGTTATTGCTGTTTGTGACTTTCACCTCAAAGTGCACTGCACAACACAAACTACATGTAATCACAGTACTGCTGAGGGAAGGAAGGAAGAGTAGAAATGTCCATTCATGAAGTTAAAGTTATAGGTGGTTAAAAACCTTATTAAACAATCCTTTGAATTCTGGGTAAACAGTTTATGAAGTCTGAAATGTGGGTGTATTTTAAGACCTGTCATTACTGCAGTCTAGAAAAGCTTCTTTGTACTTGGTGCTCCACAAACACTTACAAAGAAAAATTTAGATTTGCAATATAAATATATGTAGAGATGGAGAAATGATTGTTGGTTTTCTTTGTTGTTAATGGGTAGCTGAAGCTCAGAGACTAATTGCCCAAGACTACATTGGCAGCCTGAGAGAAACACTTTTCATACCTTAGTTCTATCCCTAAATTATGGTTTTAACTTTCCTCTTTAATATAAACACCTTGTTGTGGAAAACGTTATTTGTACTTTTAATTATATTTACCTTTTGTATCTTACAGGAACTGGTGTGCTTATGTCCATACCAGACTCTTACCTACAGTGGTGGTGGACAATTTGGAAACCTTCTTATCGGGCAGAGCGAAGCCTTGCACTTGGCATATTGGATCCTGTGCTCAGAGGTGTGTAGAACTAGGAAGAAAAGAGTACTTGCAACTACTTTATCACCAACTGCATAATTAATAAAACCATGACTTTAGAAATGAAAAAGAAAACAGGAGGGAGCAGATCAGCACATTTCCAGGTCTCATCTTCACACGTTCCTATAACAAGTGTAAAAGCTCATGACTTGGCATGCCTTCACTGGCACCCTCTTATCAGTTCAAAGCCTTCAAATAAGCCCACTGCCTGCTCCCCTCTTCAGTAGTACTTCAAGGAAAGGTGCATGTGTGCAAAGCTTTAAAGGACATGTGGGGAAGAAAATCCTTTCTGTGCTGTTTTCCAAGCTTGTGCTTTGTTGGAGCAAAAGGCTTCCCCTGAGAGGCATTAATACTTTTGTTGTTATCTCTGTGCTGGGTGCTTATTTCTGGTACAGCTTTGGTCAGGCAGTGAACCTAGAAAAGTAATTGGCCTGCATACGACTTGTTCTTTCTGGTTCACTGTAGTCTCTAAACTTTAGATTTCAATCATAAATGAAATTAGGTTTTAAAGCATGGGCCTGGAAAATGGTGAACTGAAAGAGCACTAACAAAACAGAGGTTGTCACATATTTTTCCCTTGAAAAATTTCAAAAGCCTCTTACAAGTCAGTTTGACTGTTCTGAGAGTTGTCCTCTAGGTGGTATGCAGAACATGCTTAAACTTTTGAGGTGAAACTGGGAATAGAGTATCCTTAGGATTAGGTGACAGAAGTACAGTCAATTGTACTGCAAAAGTGTGGAGTGGACCTTGTGGTTGAAATGTTGCCAGGGATTTTTTTCTAATTCATTCTAGAAGATTCATGATAGTTCTGATTTGTTTTCTGTAGGACAACTAACATCTTGTGCTGCTCCTGTAAATAAGTCGCTACTATATACAGTTCTGGGGCTTGTCTACATGGAGAGTTACTTTCGCAGTAGCTATTCCTGATTAACTCCTCTCAGGGACACATAATTTTTATGAGTGCTTTCAGAAATGGATTATGCTAATACAGAATAAGCTAGTTTTATTGTAAAACAAGACCATCCATACAGCAAAATAACTGAGAACTCTCTTGATTTCAGTTCACCTTAATCTTTATTGAGTTCTTGCTGCTGAAAAAGCCATTTCTCAGAGACAAAGCTGGTTGGGGACACATGCAAAGCTCCTGACAGTTACTGTGAATTTTAATATATATACTATTACATCCTTTGTGAAGGGGTTATAGAATTAACTACAGTATAAAACAAGGTGGCATTTTTTTAATTCATTGGGAGGATGTTTTCTGCTCTGACAGCCTTTGAATATGTCTCCATTTCTAGAATGATTTAGACAAGGATTATGTGTCCAAAACTGTTCTGTAACAATTTTATAATTGTATTTTCTGAGATTTTTAGGTGTTCTTCATGTTAGTGTTTAGCAATTAGCAGAACTGTGTGATATTCTTTTTATTCAATGTTTATATTTAACATATTAGAAAAGGCAAGTAGACTTGATGTGGTTAGTTTCTTCTGTATGCCCTACTGTAGCATGTTCATTCTAAACTGACTTCTCTATGAAGTTAAGAAAGCTAAAAGACAGGGAAGCCAAGACATGCAGAAAGTGTTAAAACACAGAAAGAAAATTGCTGCCTCTACAGTTACATACTGTAATAGTGGTAACTGAGGCATCACAACTAAGCCATACCCTCCTTAAATTGACTTCCAGAGTGGAAATTTTTATGCTTTATTGGATTAGTGTTTGTATAATCTTGTATAAAATAATCAGAATGGAACGCTTCCAGTATGTACTAGATGTGAACTGATGTGACCTAAATTAATTGTAAATACTTTTTTCACTGATTTCAAAGTAAACGGTATATCACAATTGTATTTTTGGCTCACTCTGTCCAGTTTAGTAGATATTAATCATCTTCCATAAAAGTGAGCAGTATTTGTCTCCTGGATAAGATATTCAGGGAAGAAGTCTGACAGCACTAAATAGACATGAGGTTCCTTTAAAATCCATGCAGATGACCTGAAGTCTGCACTATTAAAACTGTAATTGCTATTGAAATACCAAACTCTTGTTAGGCTTCACTTCCAGTTTCAAGCACTTAGTGAAAGGATACATGTGACGTGTAAGATAACGTAATGTAGTTATACAGGTATCCTACAGCTGTTTGGTCACCTAAAAGAGATTTAAAATGTTCTTATTTTGCAGGTCCCAGACAGCAACACACCAAGCCTACAGAATCAAACATACAATAGTAACATCGCTGGAGTGGAAGTGCTGTCCTGGGTACAGTGGGCAAAACTGCCAGCGCAAAGGTAGGTAGAGTTGTAAGGATTTGAAACTATTCACCTCAACAAAGGAAAACAATGCAGTCTGATTTGTGAGCAAATGGTTCTACTGAAAATTGAAACAGTCCTTCCTGTTAATTTAAACCCAGGAAAAATTCACAGTAACTAAAATGCTTTGGGATGTGGACTCTTCCCTGCACATGAATTTCCAGAGTAGCTAAGCAGAATGTCCTTTCTTCTCTTTCACTCTAAATAAAACTCATAAAATCTTGAGCTTTATACCATTTTGCTAAAGTACAGAGTTTGCATTCAGTGCATCTCTACTTTTGACCTTTTAGTTATTGAGTATTTCAGTGCTGGGGATGTTAAATTTAGTCCTCTATTGAATAGTTGCTGTAAAATTCACATATAGCACTGTGACTCTTCTCACGTTCAGTTTCAGGCTCTAAAAATATATGATAAAATAATGTATCAACTTTGTTTCTCTCTGAATAGAATGTGACTTTTGTTGTTCATTTCAACAGTGAACTGAATTTTACTAGGTATTACACGATCCCTGTATAATTGTGCCCTTTTTTGACAGAACAAAGTGTTTTACCTCTGCCCTGGTGATCAAACATATGGCAACGTACTGTAGTTTAACATCTGTAAAATAGCTATTTCTTTGCTGCTGGCCTTAAACAAGCTGCCCTTGAAAAATAAGATATGGCATCAGCATACATATTTTAAATGAATGAATATTACAAGAAAGGCCATTAGATGTGGTAGAGAATTCAATCAGCAGTGGTAAAGTAGAGGCTGTGATTAAAAATTTATGTAGAGGAATGAAGAGAAATCACTGTTATTCACATCCAGAAGGGAAATTTCAATGCTGGAGAGCCAGAACCTCAGCAGGCACAGAATTCTGTTCTGTGCAACTGAGTGTGGAGTCAGATATTAACACGGGACACAGTCAGTCAGCAAGCCTGTCCAGTGAGCATGGATCAGATGTTTTAAAGGTTTGCTTTTAAAAAAATTCAAACATTAGCAAAAATAGATTAAAAAATACTTATTGAAGGGGGAGCCTATGGTTGATAAAATTGAAATGGCATCAAAGCAACAGGCAAGCATTGACAAGGAAGAAGCAGCTGTATAACGCAATTGGTAGTGGCATCTGTGTAAAAATGAGAATAAAGGAAAATGTTGTCAAGTGTTACAGAGGCAGGTTTGAAATTACATCTCCTGGGTTCTATTTTCAAACCTCTTCTGGCTTGCTGAATAATTTGGGGAAGCCGCTTATAATTTGCATACCCAAGTTTACCCATCTAGAAAATTGAGATGACACTTATCTCACAAGGGCACTGGGATATTTAATTAATTAATGCTTGTAGAAGTACTTAAAGAGATTGGGATGAAAGGTGTTATGTCAGAAAGGCTCTTCTTCTTCCCCGCTTCTGGAATCCTGCCTCTCATGAGGAGCAGACCACCAGCACAAGCCCTGCCTGCATTATTCAACTCCCATGAAGGGACGTCAGCTAATGAACTTGAACAGTTGGGAGCCCAATAGCCTTGTCTTCAGGCACTCTGTTTCTACAGTGGTGCAGGGAGAAACGTTGTAAGCTCTGACAGGAGCTCTCCAGAGTCACTGAGCCCTCTGTGCAGCCTCTCTGCACTTGATCTTCTCCACAACAGAACTGTTGAAGGGTTTCTGTGCCAAGTGAACTGGAGTATTCTGACAAGATGTTTTAGATCCTGGGAAGGCACTGTTAGTGTGATGTGGGTTTGCTTGTAGCAAATGCTAATTCAGAACACCTTCTGGTTTAGCTTTCTCAAACCAAGTGAAATCATAGATAACTAGTTCACTGTGATAGTCTAGGCAGAAGGAAACATTCGTTACCATCTGATAGTTATTACTAGACATCTGTGAACCATGTTTGGTAGCCTCAATTGTAACTGCTTGGTTACAGACGGTTCTCAAAGTAATGTAGTAATGAATGAGCCTCTGGGAAGAGACGTGTTCAGATCACTATTTCTAGCTTTACCTCCCATGTGGCAGCACATGATCAAATTGAATAAGGCACGGATCCTAGTCCAGCATGGACAATGCAATTTTACAAGAAACTTTTTAAGAAGGGAAAAATGGAGACATAATTTCTTACAGGTGTTGTGAAATAGCACAATATGGATAATTCAACAAATAAAACATAATTATTTTTGGTTGGGGAATGTGAAATGCTTAACTGCAAGCAAAACTGCTAAAATGAAAGGGCTTGTAAGTTCCCAGTTGCAAAGTTCGTGATATGTCACTTTTACTAAATACAGCTTTATTTTAACTTTTCATCCTTAAGCTGGCGAAAACAATGTGTAGTAATGTCTGAGGGGAAGAAATCCTGGTTTGCCCATGCACACGTGGTCCCTGAACACTATATTGTGTCACAAATAATTTCAATAACTGGAAGATGCATCTTCGAATGTAGATCATGCTGTGTTCGAATTCAGCTTTGCTGTGGAGTGAGGCTGAGGTGACTTAATATAGATGAATTCATTTCCATCTGCCTTGGCTGTGGCCTAGAGCAAACCGCTGGTTCTCAGAGCTGCTGACAATGCCATAGCCATTGTTAGCACTGAATTCTCTCGCGTGGTAGCGATGTCATTTCTCCAGCAGATGGCTGTAAAATGTTCCACACAGGAGCAAGTGCTATCCTCTGCCTGGGGTGAGCTACAGACACAGAAGGTAGCAATTCACCTTGAAATACTGAGTATGGGAGGAAACTACCAAATTCCCCACAGGGATTCCCCTTCAGCCATTCCTGCTTCATCAAAAATATATTGAGAGGAAAAAGGTCCAATTTCCATATTTTTAATATTCCCTGAAATCATTTTGCACACTGTGTTTAAAAATACATGGGACAATAAATTATACATCTAGGTCAATATATTCAATGATAGGAACCTAATGTTAAATTCCTATGTGCATTACCTGATATTCAGAAGTGCTGAGGACCCTGAAGCTCCTGGAGGAACTGGAAGAACTCATTGCTCAGCATTTTGAATTGCTGCTTTTTGGTTGGTGTTGCCTTGTTATTGTAATTGGCACCTATCAGGTGGGTCTAGTAGTCTAATTTTTATTTTACATTTCATATTTTTAGCTTAAACTGAGCATAGCGTATCCAGTTTCTTAAAGGTCCCAAATGCGAGTCATTTGATGGCTACACCCTAAAGAGTGTATGTATTAGAGTTTCAGTCTAGTGCTCCCATCACATCTGCTATAAAACATCTAGGATGGGGGATTTCAGCTGTGGGACCAAGAAGCACATAAGACTTAATCACCAAATGATGTGTCAGAGTGGTTCCTTTGGAAAAGGACTGAGTCACACTGGAGGAATGATGTAGGAGAAGCTATATTGCCAGTGACTCTTCTGAATTTGTTTCACAAATGAAAAGCCCTGAATTTCTAATGCTGCCTGAGAAGTACCTTTCCTATATAGTGATGAAATTTAGTAACCGCACAATATGAGTGTCATCTCTGAGGGGTGTGTGTGCGTGTATGCATCACTGGTTACAGTCCTTGCTGATTTTAGAAACAGTCTATAATGTACTGCTGGCTTGCTCCATTACGGGTTTGCTCTGACAGCGTGATACTATGTCCTGGGTCTTACAGGGATTATGTTATCTGAACAGTTTAAATCATTAATAAAATAAGCACACAGGGATAAACATCTATCCTTGAAATTCTAAAAGTGAATAAAACTGTGAGGGTTTGAGTATTCTACAATACGAAGTGGTGAGTTGGGCGGTTTATTTAATAGGGAGGGTGAAAGATAAGTTGGATAGTATAAAAAACCATCTGGAGTCTGTAGTACTAACAGTGGCATGGAATGCATTTAGAACAACAGAAAGATCAGTAAATGAGGGTAAAAGGACATCGATCAGCTGGTCTTTATCACAGGCAAGTAACTGACTCCCTCGTCATAGGTTATATCATCACATCACCACCTGATAAATCCTGTGTAATGAATTGGTCTGAATGCAAGTATTTAACTCCTGTCAATAACCGTGCCACAGAAAGATAACAGAAGCTATTGAAATTATAACTGTTTGAGAATTTTGTAGTCCTTATCAACCAATTTCAACAAATTCTGTAAAACTTTAAGTCCACATGTTAACTTCCTTTGAATTCCTATCCTAATTGTTACTTTTCCCTCTTAATTTACAACATAAAACGTCTTAAACCATCTTTGGATGTAATCTATTGATCCTCATATATACTGTTAAGAGACTGATGAAATAGGGAATTCATGACTGATGATTCAGCATTTTATTCTGTTTCCTTGGAAACCCACATTATGGCCAGACTAGGTTTTAATATTTGAACTGGAAAATAATGTCACCATACCCAAGTTATTCTGCTTGAACTGTACTGAAGACAGAAAATCACATCAGTGGCACATGTGTCATTCCTTAGATGTGCTGCAGCTGGAACAACATCCACTTCAAAATGCTTCGTAAACTGAGCAAGCATATAAAAATTGATATGAATTTACACATGAATTTGCAACCTACTTTGTATTTATTTCTTTTTTTTTTAAACAAAAATGGAATGAAAATTATACCATTAAACATAATGTCTAGAGAAGTAAGTCAGGAAGGTGGAAATCTCAGTTCAGTTATCAGCTGTCCTATCAGTTGTTCCCTACTTTTTATGAGTGAAGTCACTTTTCTTGATCTCAGTTCTACCAAATGTAATATTGAAAGGTTAGTGTAGCTTTTTGCAAATTGCTTTGGGATTTTTGGGCTGAAATATACAATAAGCACAGAAAATCCCATCTGCCCTGCCCAGAGAAAGTATTTACAAACATATCACCTTTGTGAATTTTTTTCATGTATGGACCAGTTGCAAATCTCAGATGATATTTTTTGGAATCTGAGTGTGTTTTGAAATGGTTTTTATCTTTTAGGTGCTGCAACAATGTAGTATAACCATAATTGCCTGTAGTGGAATGGTTGAAGATTTGTGTAATCTATCAAAAAAAAAAAAAAAAAAATCAGTTTCAACAGACCTGGATAATTTTGTAGCTATAAAAAAACCTAATTAATTTTACAGCCAACAGTCTCTGTATTGTCTTTGTACAGCTGTTTTATATTGATCTAAAATATTCTTCCAGAATTTTTAGCCCTGGAGATTTCAAAATTCTGTTCATTATAGCGTAAGTTTTGACATTTCAGTATTAACATCAACCCCTGCCACTCTCAGGAAGCTGTTTATAAGGCCACTGTCTTCATCAATGTGGTCCCACACTGTTAATGAACTAAGCAGATTAGGCTTTATTAAGGTTGGTATAGAATAGAGAGAAAAAGCAATGATAGTGAATCTTGATTGTCATGTTCTGTGTTTCACTCACATCCTTTCCTTTTTCTCACTCTTTTAGCTCAAGAACAAGAATCACTTATACACAGCAACCAGGCTGAAAGCAGCAGAACCGTCAATGAGAGGACACCAGCAGCTCCTCAGGACAGCAATGGGCCAGGTCAGCTGTTATAATTACTATCACCTCTAGCCCAGTCACTGACCATGAGACTCACTAAGATCGCTGCAAAAACAATTTCAGAAAAATCCCTATCTGCTGAAGCGACCTGAATGACTTTCTACCAGTCATGGTTCAGCAGTACACTGCTCTGATAATGACAGGCAGAAGAAACTGAAATTTAAAGGTACCAGTAGCTTAACGTTTATAGAGTGTCTTGTGACTAAACTAAACCCAGGAAAATAATTCTGCAAGGAAATATTTGAACTCTTATATTACTGAGCAAAATAGATGAATTAACAACAACAACAAAAGTAAAGAAAAAAACCCCAAACAACACAGCCAAAAAAACTAAAACCAAACCTAGGAGTAGTATAGACCAGCATTGGTCATAAAACAGAATGTAGTGATGTTAGTTGTATTATCTGAATATGTGATTCTTATTATATATTTTCTTATAGAAATGGGTGCTTTATTCAAAATCAGTACAATGATGCTGCCAAGCTTAGGTGTGTTTTAAGCTACTCTGTCTAGAATGGTCAAATAGCTAATCAACACAGGAGCAGTTTACAGGTCTATACCACAGATGTTTGAGACTGTTTCTTTTTACACTATTCATTTGCTCACTGCTGTGTTTACTTCAACCTATCTGGACCATAACATTTCGGAACATAATGTCAGTGTTTTCTTGCCAAGGGTATGTACAGACCTCAGCATTGTAGGAGCTAGTTAGTAACAACAATGCTTTTATTCAAATAGTGATCTACATTGAGAAGTTACCTTAGGTGACTGCTGCATGAAAAGCTTCTCCACCTCTTAATCTCTACAATTCTTGGGTATGCTCACACACCTTTATATTTATTTTCCATTACCATCTGTATAATTTAAAGTTTACCCGCACAAATCTTCCAGAAAATTAATTTCATAGTTGTCTGCATAAGTATTCATGGGAGTGGAATTTTATTCATGCCAGGCATGTTTGCACACTCACTAAACTGGGAGCAGAAACAATCAGTTTATCATATCATTCCAATTAACTATGAATTCAAATATCAAGTGTTCACTATAAAGAAACATGAAAAGGTATCTATGATTTAGAGGTATTCAAGTAGTTGACAGACTATACTGTATTCCAGTCTGTGCCACCTGAAGTTGTATATGCCTTTGAGGGTATAGAGATGTTGGTAATGCAGAATTATTTAGAAACTCTGTGTACTCGGATAACTGCCAACAATCAGCATACTGTGTTTAAATAACAACAAAAGAACTATGTGAAACATGCTTGAATAAGGAAGTAGTTTGAAAGAATTATTCTCTGCTTTTGATATAGTCCCCAGCAATGAGTGCATTTGTCAGGTAAATTTTTGGTGGCAAATTATATGCAAATTGTTTGGCAGTGTTCTCTACATACTGTCAAATGAGCTTGGAGTTTACATGGTGAGGAGCCAGAAGATGGACAAGATGTGAGAGTGTAATGGGAGCCTGTTCTTTGAACTTTCTAACTACCTCCCTTTTCTTTTGAATCTGTTGATGTTTCAAATATGGATGTGTACACCGGCTTTTTGTATATCAGCCGTAACACTACTAATAACACTAATGTGTTATTGTCTTCCACAGAGTTGACCTAGATCTGAAAATATTTTATGTGACCAAATAATAAGATATGTTCTCAGGTGTGTGTATTGCAGTTGTTAATACACTGCTCTGGTGCTGGGATATTCATGCATGCTGGGAGAACAGGATGCCAGAATCCAGACTGCCACAGGGTTTTATGTACACGTGTATGTGTTTATGTACATATAGGCGTTTTACTTTAAATTGTAATAAACAAATAGAAAAATTGGAAAACATGGGAGGGAGAGGGAAAGTCTGAATCTGGCATGGATATATAGAAAGCTATTTACAAATGGGAGTTAGGAGAAAGCTTTTGCCCCTTGGTGATGTTGTGTGAGCAATGAAATTTCCCAGTGCTGGAGGGAGGGAGGATGTTGTCTAGTAAAGCAGACAGAACCCGTGTGAAAAAGCCAGCTTGATCAACAGAGCATTAAAACATGCCACTTCTCTTAGTAGGAATTCTGCTTTGAAAAAAAAAAAAATGAAAAATTGGAATCTCAGAGCTCCATGTTAATTGCTTTTCAGTTATTTTTCAATCAGATGGGGTCAGTTTAGAAGGAGAGAGATACCTGTTCTGGCTGCCAGTCCTGCAAACATGACCTGGAGCCAGGACTAACTGCCCTGGTCTGTCATTTCACCAGCAGCTGCCAGGACTCTACAAGCCAGATTCTGTTTCTAGCTCCCACTATGCAGCCATGCTACTTATAAAGCTCACTTTCAAGTTCTTCTAAGCAGCTTGTTTTTCCCCTTCAGTAGGAACTGACAGAAGCCAAACTAAAGAAGGCAGTGCACCCTGCAGGTTACTTTTAAGTTTGGGTGACTGTGCACAAGCCAGTAATGAATTTAAATCACTTTTTCATCGTAACAATTCAACCAGGAACAGAAGTATCCAGACCAGTCTGTCTGTCACAGACTAGTATTATGATAAAGAGTATTCAGACAAAGAAGATCCACCAACAGCTTGTATCCACAGTGCTGTTAGGGAGAATTGCCAGGCTCAAAACTAGATGGTTGAGTTATAAACACAATTTTGTGTCTGTGTAAGTAGACACCATGGGCAAAGTAAACGTGGAGATGCTAACATCCTAACCTAAATCAGTCAGCCTTATTCACCCTGCTCTTCCAACTACAAATTTTACAACTCTCTACAGGAGACCATTCTCATGGGTGTTGGCATGCTTCATCTATGCTGACTGGTTGCACTTAGTGAATTTTCCCAAATGCTATCAAGTGAGATATGATACATTTATTTTTTACATACTAGAATTCTGAAGAATAAAAGTCTAGTCAGAAGACTATACCCTTTTACATATAACTTGTTGTTGTTGTTGTTGTTGTTGTTGTTGTTGTTGTTGTACCTCTGTGCTTCTACATGATTTTTGATTGTAACTGTTTACTGCCATGGACAGCCATAGACATTGATGCCATAATGAAGTGACATAAGACCAATAGCAATACTGTAAATTTACACTAATAAATATTTGTGTGTACTGCCAAAGAATCTCTTGCATAGCAGTTTATTAAGTCATAGTATGGCCTGAATCATGTAGGGTAATATATCATGAGTCTAGTAGGCCATTTAGTCTGAATTGTTGAAGGAACTGAAGAGATTTTGTAGCCCCACTCACAGGAATTAGAGCACTTAATTTTATCAGCTGCTGCTGAAAATCCCAGACTAAGTCTCATTCCTGTCAGCTGTGAAATTCAGATGGCTAGCTAATTCATGTGGAGTCTTAACCTACGAGACCAAGGCCTTCTTCACCACTATCTATTATAAACGCATCCAGCTAGGCCTTTTTAAACCTGAAGACACTACAAGTGTCAAGAACAATTTAGGCAGGTTTTAAAATAAACTTGACTTCACAAGTTGAGCATCTTTTCTTAATGATAAACTAATGATTATTTCAAAGTCATTTATCTATTAGCTGTTTTTCTGCCTTGCTGCTGCGTTGAACATTTTGACACCAACGCTGAAAAGATGATGTATTTCTTCAGACACAAGCCTTGCAAATTCATTAAGTTACGTTATAAATGGGAAGTAAAAATCAATGCATTTGTGATTGTGTTAAAGGAGATCGACTAAATGAGAGTCAACTGAATACCCTGTAGGGTGCTAGGTGGAGGAAGAATGGCATTATACTGATTAAAATATGCTAACCATTCAAAACACTGTTGTAGAATTATAAATACTTTATAATGGATACAGATGCTTCAGTAATTAGTTTCTGCTTGCTGCTGAATGGCACTAATACATGATACATGACAAAAATCAAGATGATTCAGTCAAGATTAAAAATTCAGAAACTTTTCACTCCACTTCCAGCTAATGTCTCTCAAGTCAATTATGCTTTCTCCTCTTCCCCTGTTCTAACAGTACTTCTTTCCCCCACCCCACCTTCTTTTGGTTTGTGATCAAGCACTTACACAAAAAATGAATGAGAAGATTAGCAGCCAGGAGACGAAACTGACTTTTCTACAGAGGAAGGTTGACAGCATTACTGCTGCAATGAATGATGTGAGCAAGATGCTTTCTTCTCTTGAAGGCAAAATCAATGAAGATAAGGGCAGAAACTTCCAGTCTTTTCTAAAAGGTAAGAAAAATAAATTAATGTAATCACTCATCCAGTTAAAGGTGCCAGGAAAAAAAAAATGCTGAAAACCTTCATAGATTGTCTTATTCTATTGCACAACATTTATGGGGAGAATTCTTTTCTAGTTTCATTTCACAATAGAGGGATTTATTTATTTTGACATTTCTTATGGTGTCTTTTATAGTGACAAAAAATTACGTTCTTGGGTACTACATCATCTGCATGGTAACTTAAGCCACTATCAAGACATTTTCATTTACTTAGAGCTTCTGCAAATATTCTTATCTTTGTTTTTTTGTTTATTTTTCTGACAGCTGCTAAAGGACACAGTATTTGCTTTGCTATCATGTCTAAGTAATATTCTTTAATACATAATTCACATATGCAGGGAAAACACATAATGAATTCTGTGGTTGTTGTATTTATAATATGGCGAACATACTGCTGAATAATTTGCCTCTGATCATTTTAGGCTACCTTTGATAAACAGCTGTACTCATGTTCAGTAGATGAGAAAAACATGTCCAGGCATCAGGAGGTTGGGCACAGCCTCACCAGCAGTATTAAGCATCCATTCTTTGTGAATCCTGCAGCAAGATCTATTTGTTACCCATTTGGTCCTTAACGAACAGATTGTAACCGAAGCTTTCATTTCCTTGATGTGCAATATTTTTCTCATTTTTCAGAAATTTTCCCCGAACTATTATACACTTCAGAATCCAGAGGACTTTTCTATTGTTTAAAAATAGAATGATGGAACTGGAGCTCCTTACATTGAGATAAAACTACATGAAACAATAAGTGCTTTTGTATCTCACTCAAAATTACAAAGTGTTTTTCAGTTTCTTGTATTTTCAGTCCCCTGTCTCCTGAGTTGCTTGTGCCACATGCTAGATGGCTCTCTTGTACCCTGGATCAAGTTTATCTCATCTTTGCTATGTGACCTGCTTTCACCTCTCCACATATTGCTAGATGGCATTCTTGACCTTTGGGAACACAATTAATTTGTCTTTGAATATTTCCCATTTCCCTTTTGATCTCTTTTCATTCATTTTTTAAAATTTCACTCATTCTGGCTGTCATTTTCATGTTATTCCAAGAGGTCTTTTGCTGCATCCTGTGCTTTTGCTTCTCCATTCAGAGTCCAAGTCCTAATTAAAACATGCAATACAAATATATTATTTCACGCTTCTCTGCAAATGTGTTTCAAATCTTTATTGTTTTTATCTGCAGTGCTCTATATTATACCTCCTTAGATGAAATCTTCAGTTTCTGGCCCTTTTTTGATTTATGTTCTCAATCTATCCCCTGATAGAGTAGCTCTAATGAAAATGCTGCTATCAACTACTTCCCTTGACTCTAATTATGGGCACTCCAATACAGGTTATTCTTGGCTTGTACATAGGTAAACAGCAGGAATGAGGGAAGGAGGGGAGAGAGAACAGGGTTAGTGTCTCTGCTGGCTTGTATATATAATGTCAAAGGGCAACCGCAGTGTCTTTACAGGGAACATCAGTCAATCGTATTGCAAGAGGGCAAAGAGCATCCTAAGGTAGCAGGAGCTGGAAGGATTTTCCGTGCTGTCCTCTAACTTGGTACAGATTTGTGGTATAGGCACATCAGACTTTCTAAAAATTACTCTTAGAAGCTTACCTGAAGCAAAACACAACCTTACAAACTACCACTGCCATCCTGAAGCAACATGCTTTCAAAGCACAGTTAAGTCTGTAGTTGCTTCATGCTGTTCAGACTTTCTTTTTGCCCTGCTTTTCCGTTTTCTTCTCATGATGCCTAGGCCCATTGCTCATAGCCATTAATCCCCTTTTTTCTTATCACAAAATTCTAATGGCTGCCTAGGTTTGTATCAGGGTTTGTTAAGGAGTGAGATCTGTTTCTGTGAACAAACAATTCAATACAGTTTACAAAGCCTTTATTTCTTGGTTTCATCTGTAAATAGACTTTGGTCCCACAAACCTGTCATCTGTTGATACAGGGCAACACTCACTGGAGTAACTGATACGCTGCTTTAATTTGATTAGTGAAACCTGTTGTGCATTTTTAAAATTGTTTTCAGTGCTCAGGAGACTGTTCCTACTTTTTACTTAGAGAAAATAACTTGATGTTCTCCATTAATAAAATCTGCTTATTTGTTGTTATTCTTTCTTATATCTTTCACTTTACACCAAGCCTTTTTATAGACTCCTTTTCTCTTCATTATGAAAATGTACAGTCCTTTAAAAGTTAACTCAACAATGGAGTTAATCACTTCTCAATCAGATATGTCATTTATATAAAACCTTAACTCAGTCTCCTGTGTACATACATTTATTTTGCACATGATTCTTCAAATAATTGAAACTGCAAAGGGAGTATATGTTGACACAATGTAATTGCACACTTTGGATTTCAGCCAGGGAGTTAAAATTTATAATCTCATAAAAAGTGCAAGAGATGTTTAATGTTCACAGGTAGTTTGAACATTTCTGTTTCAAAATGAGCAGTAGAGAAACTGAGTTACATCCATGAATGTACTCGTGTATTCTCAGATCACGCTTAAGAATATACCCAATTGTCACCTACAGCACAAGTTTGGGTCAGGCCTTTCTGTGAAGAAATGGGCTCCCACAGCTCTGGTGAACTTTGGAATAGCACTTGCTTACTAAGTACCTAGTTGTCCTAGCCAGTAAGTAAGGGAGAGAAACCCAAAGCTGTCTGTTTTATCAGGTTCTACCCCCTTAATAACAAGAACACCTGAAAACTAAAGCTGAGCTTCATAAAACACCTGCAATCCAGCTAGAGTAAGAATGGGAGAAAGTGAGGCTGGCAGTTTTTCGAATGTCACAGAAAGAAAAGGCCAGTACAGATCCTGTGGAAGACTTCTCACAGCAGGATGGTCTGTTACCAAGATTTGTCGACAAGATGAAGAAAGAAATCTAATTAATTCCTCAGAGAAGATGTAGAGTAACTTTGTTTCTTTCCACAGACATTAACCTTTTCTTTACAGCTCATTGTGCCTCTTAAAGCACAGAACATTTTTCAACATCATAAAGTAACCTGACCAAAACACGAGTTACAATGGTTTCTGTACATGTCAGTTATTTTACTCTGCATTCATATCTTGGTTCTTCCTCTCAGCTGCCAGGACATACTTATTCTCAGGTATCTTAGTGTTTTTCCTTCACTGAAGTTCACTGACAAAGCTCTGTGTGTAAGTGCACATTCATGTGTATATACATCTGTCTAGTCACTTGCTGTTCAAGTAGTAAAAAGTAAAATAATAAAGACAATCTCAGGATTATCACTTTGTTGTTTTTCATATTTTGTATTAAAATTGCTGTGACATCTGTGACCACAGTTGGCAGTAGTTGAGTTTATTGCTTATGAAACTTCACTCTGTATTTCTGAAGTGGCTTTTTGCTAGACTGGTAAACTTTATTGCACCTACCTATTATATCCTGCCTTGAAAAAAATCACCGTCTGAACAAGTGACATATTTCTCCCCTATGCATCAGAGGTGTTTACTGTTGACTGAGACTCATTTATAGTTCATAAAACCCAAATATTATCAACTACTTTATCTCCGTTTCCAGCTGAAAACACACGCACAATTCCAATTACTTTCCTGAATAGAAAAAGTACTGTGCTTCTCTCCTTGCTGAACAAAACCATTTTTATTTAGAATCCTTTTGCACCCCTGGAGCCCAAAGTTGCATTGGATTTCATGGGTCTGATTTCCTGCCATTTTACTGCTCTTGCTGAGAATGTACTTTCAAATCAAGGTTTCAGAACATACCTTGCTGTTTTAGAGATGAAGCAATAAAATCTAGGGTATAGAAGTAATTGAGAGGAAAATAGAGGAAGGCAACAGCAAATTTCTGCCTTTATCAATACAGTTTTAATCAGAGAACTGATGGTCATCAAGATATTGTAGAGGTTGAAGAGTTTTAACCATTATATCACAAGCTGGCTGCAGGTGTTCATAGAGTTTAGAAAAACATGCAAAGAATGCTTCAGTATTTTAGCTGGACATAGAGGCTACTTTTGAAAAACAAATTAAAAAAAATCCTTCTAATCTCACACCAGAGTAGAACTCTAATGAATTCAAATACATTACACAGCACTCTTGATGAACACTATTTCATTACTTAACCCATCCAAGGTTATACAGGGGACACATCGATGTTATTCACAAGTTCAGAATTCCCATGTATTCACCTCTGCCTAGTGCTTTTCAGGATCTGTATTCCTGGAGATATACAAAGAGTTGTAGTATGCAAGACTAAAGGTTTGTACCTTTAAAATATCTTCCTTTTGCATCAGTTGTCATGTGACTGACTTTAAATGTTCAGTAAGGCTATTCATTTTACTACTTTCTCACTATACTGTGTAGTATGATCACTGAGCATATACAATACAATATAAGGACATTCTTGACCATAATGATAAAGCAGGTGTTTTTTCCTTACATTCCCAGTGGAGAAAAGACACATATTTTCTTATGAGCAAGCCACAAAAGCACAATGATCTCACTTCAGTGCTTAGAAACAGCTTCACTAGGAGATCGAAGTTGATACCACATGCAGAGTCTGAATTTGCCCTTTCAAAATAATAGCAAAACTCCCGTTGATTTCAGGAGAAACCAGGATGAGTCTTCAAATACTATTAGCCATCCTCTACTTTCCTCACCTTTAAATTTTGCACTGTGGGTGGGTAAATTGGGGCAAGGATGTGTGTGATTCACTTCTGTAAAGCACTGTGTTTGCTCACCTTGTAGAAAAAAACTTAGATGTTGCTAACAGAATTTATTTGATTTTTTCCATATTTCTCCTTTTTCTCAAAGGTCTCAAATCCAGAAGTGTTAATGAATTAGTCAAAGACATTGTCATAGAACACATTAAAGTATTTCAAGGTGAAATGCAGGAGAGCATGGCTCAAGTTTTCAAGACTGTGTCTAGTTTGTCAGAAGATCTTGAAAATACAAAAACATTAGTCAAACATCTGAATGAAACCCAACAAAAATTTGCTCAGGAGAAAGACAGTGGGCCCACAAAGCTTGACATTCTGGATCTGAAGAGTCATATGGTGCAGATGAAAGAGGAAATGACCCTCACTTGTGACAAACCTATGAAAGCTTTACAGGAAAAGCAGAAATCCTTGGAAGACAACTTGAAACATCAACAGTCAAGAAGTATAATTTATTATGAATCTTTAAATAGAACTCTTACTGAAATGAAAGATGTTCATGAACAACTGTTATCAGCTGAACAGTCTTCAAGCCAAAACATCCCTTCAGCAGATAAACTCATGGAGTACAACATTACAGAGTACATGTTCACACTGCATGAGAAAGTAAAGAAACAAGGCATGATGGTGCTGCAGATCTATGATGATTTAAGAGTCCAAGACAGCAAGATCAGCAACCTCAGTGTTGCACTGGAAATTCAGAGAGACTCTGTTCTGGGGGTCTGTGATGACATGTTGTCAGAGAGCAGAAGGGATTTCCAAACACAGCTGGCAGCAACCCAAGAGAATGTTCTTGGCCTAAACAAAAGTCTCTCTGACCTGATCCTTCCATTGGACAATAAAATGGACAAAATGAATGAGCAAATTAATGATTTGTGCTATGATATGGAGATCCTGCAACCCTTGATTGAACAAGGGGTACCTTTTAGTCTCACTTCAGAGTACGAACAACAAATTCAAGCTGAAGAAATCAATGAGAAGCTTGAAAACCTCACTACTGCCGTTAACAGAATGAATTCTGCAATTAAGCAGCTTTCCAAAACTCAGGAAGGACTTAAAAATGAATCTCAGGTTTATCAGGAACTGTTTGAGAGTCGTGTTAATGAATGCTCCATGGAAATAGAAGATGGATTAAACAAGACCATGACAGTAATAAACAGTGCTATTGATTCTATTCAGAATAACTATGTACTGAAAGATATGCTGCATGCTCTAAGAAATGAAAGTGAAGTTTGCTGTGGCAGAGCTGAGGAACTGGAGAGCCTCCTGGCTTTCATTCCTCAGTTCCAACAGTTGAATGAATCCCTCTGGACACTACTTATTGGCAAGAAGTATGAATTCACTTCACAGGTAGTGCCATCCCTTGCTGATCTTCCATACCAGGAGTCTGACAAAAATATCCTCCACAATTTCAGACGAGTTTTCTATATTTTAAATGATACATCATCAAAAGTAGACAATCAACAACAAGATATCAGCCGCCTGGAAGAAAAACTATTTGACTCTGTGGAGGAATCAAAGGACCATGAGGTTCGCCTTCTGAATGTGGAGTCAAAAATTTCCAAGTTTTTGGCAAACAACTGTGTCTCATTGAAAAAAAACAAAGCTGCCTCGACAGAGAAAGAACAAATGGCCTCACTTCAGCTCCAGACACTAAGTTCCAGGATCAAGGCCCTGGAAGCCAAGTCGATCCGATTCTCAAACAGCATTCCACTTCTGAACAAGACTACTCATGAGGCCTGGGGGCTGTGTCAGGATACGAACAGCAGCATCCATAAAGTGAATGCGAGTATACCTATGCTAATTAAACTTGCTCAGCCAGATATCCCCCTGCTGCAGAGAGGCCTTAAAGAGCTCATTGAATCTGTGCTTGAAATAAAAGCAGGATCTATCTTGACAAATTTAACACAGTATGTCGACATATCGGTAACAAACGCAGTGAACAACATCACCAAACTCCAGAAGCAGGTGAAACCAATTATAAAGAAACCAGCTCCAGCTAAAAAAGGAGCAGCAAACATCACCATGAGCCTGACAAGCCGAAGTCAGAGAAACACAGATAATACTATAGATCCAGGTAATGCATTTTACTCTACTAAAAATTAGGGTCTTTGTAATAGCAGCTTATATAACTGTTGTGATGAGCTGAGGGAGTGGAACTTGACTGATGTTGAATAAAAAGTCCAAAGACTGCCACAAAGAGTGTTTCAGAGGAATCTGAGGTTACTCTAGTCTCTTGCTTACAGGACAATTTACTTTTCTTATGAGACTGCACAAAGGCATCTAGAAGCTCCATTTGATTTTCCTTAATAAATTCCTATCTGATCACTTTAAGATATATGTGCATGCACACACACTCAGCTAAGAACCTGACCTTTCCAAAGGTTACCAAATCTTACCAAATGTAACTGGCAATTTAGACAAAATCTAAGCTACAAGAAATTTGTGCCTGCATCTCAGTGAGCAATTTCAGTAAACAAACATACAACCTGGAAGAGAAATTTGGAGTTGCATCAGTACTTTGCAGTGTCGGTGGGGATGAAAAGTATCAAAACCCTGAAACAAATGAATATACCTGATGGCTGCAATGAGGCTTTTGCCAGATCCGTCAGTATTTTATCGAGATTATTAGTGCAGTTATAATTAGAGTAGTGTGTTCTTGCAGAATCAGGAGACCAGCCAGTAAAGTAGGTTTGACTTGAGTCCATCTGGAGAACAGCTCAGCTGTCTAGGAGCTGCCATTCTTAAAAAGGACATTTTGAGTGTGATTTGCTTCTGAACTTAAATTTAAACGTCATGTGAAATGAATTCATATGTGTGAATTTGCAGAAATACAAATTCTGAGTTATGACTTTTGGAATCAGACTTGAGTGAAAATCAATAACACAAGCTAATGTTTTATGAACATATAATTTCTGGGAAAATACCAAAAATGTGAAGTGGTTAAGTAACTAGAAATTCTCAGAAGACTCTAATTCATGTTAAAATAAGTGAGACAGATTCCTAAATGACAGATGTTCAGATACTTCTGAAGACCCAGAACTAAATCTTTTCTGTAAAACATTCTTAAACTTATGAACATTTCTGAATGATATTTGGTCCCTATTGTAAGCAGATGTAAAGGTAGTAAGATCTACCATTCTTGTTCATCAATCTTCTTTTCGCTCTCCATGACTTTTCCCTTCCTTTCTCTCCTTCCCTCCTTCATCTCTTTCTGTCCTAGATAGAGCAGTTTTCAATTACCAATGGGAAGGATCCTTTTTAAAGCCCTGGTCCCATCAGTAGCTTGGCTTCTGCTGAAAGCCATCTGCACTGAATGATTTCAGTCCTTGGTTCTCTTTTCAGTTAGAGAGAACACACAGCTATTACAACAGGCAGTCACACTTAAAAATACACAAAGATTTGCTAGATTCTTACTACAAAATAATATGAATATTTTGATATTAAAACTGTCAATTCTTTCTCGGTTATTGTTATTTTCTGCCTATTTCTGCCACTGCATGGGATGGAAATTCAAAACCTTTGTTCACAATTAAAATTAAGGGAAAATGAGATATGATGCCTTTGATCCTTCCCAAGTCTTCTACTTTGTTGGAGAATATCACTTGTGCTACTGGCCTGGAGCACAGGAAGCTTCCAGCTGCTCTGTTTTTTACTCCACATTAATTCATTAATGTATTTCCTATTTATTATTTATCTCATCTTGAATTTTAACAAGTAGGTTGCTTGATAACACTGGATATATGCTCACTCTTACAGAAAGTGCAGATCTTTGCAGATGATGAAAGGCCCTATTTTTAAACAAGGTTTCTACATAGAAATGTTTATGCAGACTTTTTCATCAGTAATGAGTTTTTGCACTCAGTGATATTCCTTGCCTGGCAAAGTCATATATTACATTTCTGTAAGTTAAAGAAGTAAGATCAGTATCCTAATTAACAAGTATACATCTTCTGCAGTAGTAAAATCTGGGTAGATTTTACTTCTCCAGGAAAGCTTTTTCTCCCTAAATTCTGGGAGACCATCCTGAGGTATATGCCTAGAAGAAACCCTAATACATAGCTGACTAATTATAAAATGTGTTTGATCTTGGATCATCTTTTTAAATTTAAAAAGATTAGAACAAAATTCTAGAAAAAAGTGAATGACAGTTCTCATTGATTCAAATATGTTCAACGTTTGATCCTACTCTAACAGATTGGGATTTTCATTGATTTTAATGTGTTCAGGATTTGGCCCTGACATAATACTTTCCTCAGTAGTTATTTGAAATCAAGGGGAAACGTTGTGAGTTTGGATTGTGTATTCAGAGACTGTGTTTGAAGACTTCCCATATTGTGGAATGAACAAAAGAAAAAGTTTATGTCAGCTCGAGGCTGCATTATATGTAGGAGGGATGAAAAATCTTATACTTTAGCTGATGCTAACTGTAATGGCAACCTGGGGTAAAAAAAAAAGTGGTGGTCTGAGGACAGCTTCAGGTATCTAATGTAAGGGAGATGACAGCCTTTAAAGAAAAAATATACAGCAAACTATTCACTAGTCTTTATTATGGATTATGTCTGGTCCTACCTTCCAATGCACTGTTCTACTGCAGAAATGTGTGATGCAGTATGAGGGCAGCTTAGCTCAGTTCCCGTTTTCCCACTGTCATTTAGTGCTGTGTCTGTTCTCTAGAGAATCTAGAGGCTACCGTGCTTTCTAGTGGTGAATGCTCTCTCCGGTTGCATGTCTTGTAGTAGTTCTGGGTTTGCTTTATTCAAATTATGCTGCTGTCCCATCAACATGAATTGAGAGTGCAGCTGTGTTACATTTATGTACTTAAACCAGTGCATCTGTGTGAAAGACAGGTAATTTATTTTCATTCTCATTTTCTGTATCTTATTTCTGATTTTGTTTTCACGTGATTTCTGACTCCTAAGAGAACAAGCTTCCATTGTCACTTTATCATTCAAGCCTGCAGTGAAATTAACCTCTTTAAATGTTTTCTGACTTGTGTTTTAATTGCACAAGTCTGATGGTTATTCTAGTTTGATGGCATATACTTCAATTTTGCATACTTAGTCTTTAGACTAATGGGTAGATAAAACTGTTTCGTTGTTTTTAAATATACTGATCCTGAAATCATCACACTGGAAGTACTAGATATCTCTGCTTAACAGAGAAGCAGAGTTGCCAAAGTAGCTCAGACTAGTTTTGACAATTGTCCCCACCCAAAACTGGAGAGCACAGCTGAGGCACCTCTCCTCCTTGCTTTTTGCCCAAGAGCACCACAGGTGAATTTTTGTGGGGCTTGTTTTTGTTTTTCACCACAATCACCCTACACAGCACTTATACCTGAATTCCCTGTCAGGGCCCCGAGTTCACCGATTGCTTTAACTGCCCTGGGCATCCTGACCTAGCCCCCATACTGCACACCCTGCCCATGGGCTTGGGATGCCTGTTTCAGCTCACACAAAATCCCAGGCCTTTTCAGTCATGTTGAGCTGTGGCTGATCCTGGTTACCATGATCAACCTGCCTCCAGATGAGGTGCCAGCCCTTTTGTCACCCTCAATTCTTGGGTGCTGGCCCTGGTGGGGCTGCCTCTCTCCCGCTGCTCACTGGCACTCCTCGCATCTAGGCTACTGAAGATGCTCATTGCTTTCATCACTGACAGACTGAGACTGCTAAGCCAGAAGTGGTTAATAATTGCAGACTGACAACCAGTCTAACCCTGTGTGAGCAGGGTGGTTTAGTAGATTCCCAGGCTCTTCCAATCTCCCAGGCTTCCTGAGAGACAGTTACTGATAACTAAATATTGAAAAAACATTTGTGCATTACTTTCTGTTCAGATGTTTCCAAATTGAACCACTGGAGTCACTTCTTTCCATAAGGAGACCATTAAATTGCTAAATATTTGATTTGCTTCTAAACAACACCCCAGTAGATACTGACAGAACTTCATTATTTGTTTGAAGATCTGTTTGTACAGGATTGGCGGTCTATTTCCCAAAGGAGCTTCTGGCTGCTTGCCCTCCCGAAGAGTAGCAAAACTCAGCATTAACTGGCTCTCCTCACTCCTACCACACTGAGTGTAAATAGCAATGACATTCACTTTATTATCTGCTATTAATAGCTGCAATTTAAGCCTTTAATTTAATTTGTAAAGTCTCTCTCTTTTATTCATCTACACTACTAAGTTTTCAAAGATTAATTGAAAATAGGATGCATACTATAGTAGGAAATCCTTTCCTAACCTGAACCTCTTGGCATCTTTACCCCAAGCAGAGAATATGGACATAGTGTCTCAGGATGCTCTTCAGCAAGGAAAAATAAAAAGGAAATACTGGGCAGAGGGGAAGTCTCAACCAGAATTGACAGCAAAAACACGCTATTGTAAGATCATGGGGAATTTACATAGTTACCCACTCAGTGGAGAGCTAGGGCATTTGCCTTTTCCTCTGAAAATCCTAACTTGACTTGAACCTCTTTGCAACTTCTCCTAGTTCTAGCAAATGGAGCAGGCTCTCCAGCTGCTGTTAAGCACTGCTGCACCTGGAGGGTTAATTTATTGTAGGTAAAGCTATGCCTGAATTTGATTTAACTCCAAGGTTAAGTTCAAGCAAAATCATCCCTCAGCAGACTGTTAAAACACTAGTGTCATCTCATTATCATTTCCTTTCTGTGATGTTTTTCCTGTTTCTTGGATTTACTTCTTGTTTATGATAAGGAGAAGCCAATTAACAGAGAGGCTGCCATGTTCTTACACAAAGCTTTTGTATTTTGGGAATATGATATAGTCAGCACAATCAGCTGTTTTCCTTCCTTTGCTTCTTTCCTTTCACACTTGGTAAATATCAGTGAAAAATAACTTCAATTAAGTGTGCAGCAAAACTATTATCTGAGAAGAAAAACATTATTTCCTCATGTCCAGTTGCCTGTGCTGTGACCCCAGTCATGACAGTCCTAAATTGCTTTATTTCAGGCATTATGGGATGGACGTTATTTTCTGTGAAAAGAATTACTGTAGTGTTTTTAAGTCCATATGCTCTGTCAGTGCACATTCAAGTGGCACCGTACAGTGTGCTTTAGCATTCTGTTCGCTGAACTAAAATTTCTCACAGAAATAGTTTGCCTTAATGCAGCAGTCTGTGAAATGGCTGGATGGGAATCTGAAGATAACTGTGGGCATTACTGAAATATCTATGTGAAGATCCAGTTCGGCATTTCCCTGCCAATAAGTAGACCCTTTTATGAAAGACTTTTTCAGTTCCCACCTACTAATCCAGACTTTTACTATCACTGGCCTGTGTGGAGTTCTCTTTCCAGAGCTCTGCTGGTCATTCCTGGCCAAAAAAAAAAAAAAAAAAAGGTTCATTTTCTAAAACCATTTGACTTTTATTTGTCCAAAGCAAGAAAAAGGAAAAACGCATGGCTTGGGAATGCTTTCTGTTCAGAATTTTTCATAGCAATATTTAATTTTTAATGTGGCCTGAGTGTTCTTCTCCCCAAACTGCTATGACAACACATTATACAATTACACGCAGTAGTTACTATCTCAGAGCTCAGCAGCACTGGACTGATAGATTTCTCCATATCAGCTGGGCATGATTGGGCCAGCTCATACATAGTCAGGAAGAAAGGCAAGGATATCCTCAGTGAGGGTGCTCTGCAAAACCACCTGTTTGGTAAATTCGTGTTGCTTACGGTACAAAACTTTTATAACAATCTTGGCAGATATACTGGAATTGAGTTATTTATGGGCAAGGACAAGAACTGAAAGTGGTTTGGATAGCATTTAAGATCTTTCCTCACCAGTGGCTAGACTCTTCTGCAATGGTTGTGACACATCTGGGTGAGTAATGTCATAGACAGGACAGTCCAACCTATACACCAGCAGTACAAAATCTGTGTTTCAATATGCCCAAGGATAAATTGGCTCTGTTCAAAAAGAGCAGCCTTCCATTGCTGCACTAGTGAAACCAAACCAAAGCATAGATTTGCCTGAACCGCAGGAAAACATTTCTTTTGTCTCACCAAAAGAAGGAACTAAAGTTGGATATGTCAGTATTGTCTCTTCCAAGTTTGCTGTTTGTTTCTGAAGGGCTCCTGTGGTATATGCAGCTCCAAGCCTCTCAACACATTCCCACTGTTAGTAAAGATTAATTAGCTGGTCCAGCATATTTCTTTAATCACATGATTGCAGACAGCCTGATTTTTGTTTGTGTCTTGTTTTGCTGTAGTGTCTGAGGGCTACCTTATAGAAGGGAAAGAAGGAGGCTGAGCCCTCTGTGTGGGGCTCAGCAAAAAAAGTCCCCTGCCACAGTGACCAACTGGAAGAGAGAATTGAGCAGCTAGTGGTGGGTGGGCTGCAGGTCTCCGTGGCAAGGAGGAGTGGATTCTCAGCGCCACCATCTCCTTGTGAGAATGAGTATCCTCCAGACTGAATCTGTCCTGAGGAGCACCTGTAGGGCCACCCTGCCTTAGAGTATTATGGAAAGACTTGCTTAGGGAACAGCAGAAGGAGAATTTCCTAATGCTTGGCTGTAGCCAGGCTTTGCTCGCTTTACACCTACATTGCAGGGAGAAAAGTCATTCAGTTAAGGAGGATGGGAAGGAAGAAATGAGCAAGAAAAGGTTGATGTTTGTTGATCAAGATTTCTTGGACTGTACAATCACAACTGTTCAGATATCCCAATCTTTTGATGGTTCTTATAATGTTTGTTGAGTGAGATGCTCCAAAGAAGTTAGATTTGTAGTATCTTTCATCTTATTACATGTTCTTGACCATCTGAGAAAAGCAGAACTCAGCATTTATAGGTAATTCTGAGTATCTTGGAGGCTAGCTGAGGGTATGCTGTGTTCAGGCAAAGAGGGAGGCTGGACTAGCAAAGGGTCTTGAACAGCCTGGACAGGATCTGAAATTGGCCTTCACACAGAACGTCAGCAGAAATTCCACTGGCTTTATGAATTGACAAAAGGGCTTTCCAAAATACTGAAGACTTGGTAAGTGTCACCATAATGACATTGCAACTGAGGTGATTGGTTTTCTTCCCTCTCTATCACAGGGCAGTATTCAGCTTGTGTCAGTTCCCCGTGCCAGCATGGAGGAACCTGTATCAACGACAGACAGAGTTTTATTTGTGCTTGTCGCCACCCCTTTGGAGGAGTCAACTGCAGTATGAAGCTGGTGAACGACAATTCTCTGAGTGTCGGCAAGTAAAGAATTTAGTAGCGCAATATGCTAGCAGTAGGGCCTCTGCCCCAGGGCCTAATTAGAGAGCGTTAGCTGGTCAAAGGTCTCACATTTCACTTTAATGAGTGCAAACTCAAGTAGTAGTGTCCTGTGTTTTGGTGCTGAAGACATCAATCCTCGTGGGTGACTCATGATCTCTTTCTTTAATATGACCAGACGATGGGATTAAATTGGGCTGGGACCAGCCATAATAGCTGGAAAGCTCCCTGCTGAACTGTGCAGAGTGGGAGGGTGTGCAATAGATGTATTTGAACATGATATCATGGAATTTGAAGGGGGAGGTAAAATCACATCACTGGGGAATACTAGATTCAGCATGGCCATAAATGCTCTATAAATACCAGCAGCTACCATGATCTGTGGGACTATGGCCTCAAGGAGTCATTTTAGGCATGCCTCTGATTTTCATCAGCAAAAAATGCAGCCTGTGAAAGATGTTTCAAAAAAGAAAACTGGAAAGTGTACTTATTCGGTCCAGAAAACAGATAAATAATTTACATCTAGGCCACATGGAATGTGAATTTTATGCAGCTTTCAGCAGTCATTTGGCTGATTCTCACTCATAACAGCATATGAATAGTGAATAAAATCATTTGTACAGTGGCAGGGAATCACAGTGTGTGGCTCAGCTTGAAGAGAAAAGCATATATTTTTATTCCTTCATTTAACACTAGGAGTGCTAAACCTCTTCAGTGTTTTTCCAAGATTTGTGGAAAAATGCCTTGTCTTCAGTGCACACAGATGAACAATGAAAGAGATCCTGGGGTGGGAAAAACTTGGAGGGGAGAGGGGAAGAAAGAAAACAAAAATAGCAGTTCTCTTAATGATAACATAGTATAGACAAGTTCTCTTGCTGTTTCTAAAATATTCTTTTCTGGATACACCTATGACTAATTGTGGAGAAAATTACTTTTTATACAATACAAAACACCTCAGAGTTTATGTAGAAATACTGTGTTTCCATTGCTCAAGATACTGGATTATGTACCTTCATAAAAAGCTGCTTTTGACCTTCCGGCTGGTCTGAGTTGCCTTTCTACAGTGTATCATTACTTGAAATTGTTCTTTATTTCTTCCCAGATTTTTCAAAAGGATCATACAGATATGCACCCATGGTGGCTTTTTTCGCCTCTCATACATATGGAATGACAACTCCAGGACCCATCAGATTTAACAATCTGGATGTCAACTATGGAGCCTCATTTGCCCCAGCAACCGGGAAGTTCCATGTTCCATATCTGGGGGTCTATGTTTTTGAATATACCATTGAATCATTTAGTCCACGTGCCTCTGGCTATCTGGTCATTGATGGAATAGACAAACTCACTTTTCAGGCTGAGAATATCCATAGTAACAAGTACACTGACAGAGTAATTACTGGAAATGCTTTGTTAGAGTTAAATTATGGTCAAGAAGTCTGGCTCAGACTGGCAACTGGCTCTATACCGGCCAAGTATCCACCAGTAACTACATTTAGTGGTTACTTGTTGTATCGTACCTAATTCAGTCACAAATGTTATCAGTTACCATCAAATGAAGTGAGTTTATCTTTGCCTTTAAATACCTACTCACTTACTTACTTACTGCTTAACAGCAGTAAGATTCTCAGAGTAACCAAAGTGATGGCCTTTGAAATGCTGATTCTCTAAGTTGCTTGGTTGTAGCTCTGTGCACGTCTACAAAGAGAGTCCTCAGGTTGGAGATGAAGGAAAAATAAGCATCTTCCTTATGTGCTTCCTGGGAAGCACAAATCTGCTTAAGTTCTACATTTATGTTGCATAGACATACTTACACGAGGTTGCTAAGAATAATTTCTAAAGACAAATAAAAGCTGGATTTCATTATTGCTTTACAATCTGTGTGCATACCAAAGGTGATGGATAGATTTTGATGGCTCAGATGTTGGGTTACTACTTAGGTCATTGTATCAAGTGATAATCACATGTATATATTCTGACTGGAAAAAATATATTTCTTTTTCATTTTGGCTGACATTATTACCACATACTTTGATATGTCAGCATTTAGTTGGTTCATGATTTTATATGTAACCGGTGTGATGATGACAGCTTTTATATGTAAACTTTGGCCTATGAAATACACAAAGTTAAATGAGATAATCATTGTACTTTCTAAGTTTGAGCTCTGTAAATCTATATACATTGGCTAACTACTGAGGCAAGATAAAATGAACTTCAGTCTCCATAAACCAGAATGTGATTTCCAAGCACCAATCCAATTAAAAAAATAAATTAGCTCATGCTATGACTGCCTGAAAAAACCCCAAAACCCTCAGGTTTACATCCTTATCAGCTGCAGGGTCCTGGGTTGCTGCAGTTTCTTGATATCCCATCGACTGGTGTGACTGACCAGGTTTGTTTCTGGTTATTGCCTTTGTTAATGCTAACTGAGAAGGTTTTACATCTCTGTGTGTTTGTCTACCTCCTTTTCCTTATCCTCCCAGCTGAAAAAATAGTTTCTCACACTCCATGTGTCCTTGCCAATTAGTGCCACCAACCAGGTTTGTTCTCATCACTGCCTCCCTTACCATGTGTCAGGCAGGTTTGTCTCTGCCTGTTCTTGTTTGTGGCTTCTTTGACCAGCTGCCCTTAAAGGAGCAGACACTCTCCTTCCCTGGGCCTTATATTCAGTTATTGTTAATCACTGTGCTCCAGGGATCTATGCCAGTTTGCTGAAGCCCAGAATGTTTTGAAGCTCCCTGAATGATTTTGTTTTCCACTGTCAGGAACTTTTCTTGAAAACACATGAGAATCTTCAGCTCTCTTCTTGGTATTACTTAAGACCTTACCAGATCTTAAGATGAACATGCATGAAATGACTGAATTCTTCTGTGCTGTATGTGGATAAGAGAATTCACAGCATCTTTCCTCAGGCATATAAAACTTGTCCTGGTTTCAGCTAGGGCAGAGTTAATTTTCTTCCTAGTAGCCAGTACAGTGCTGTGTTTTGGATTCATTGTGAGAATAATGTCACTAACACACTGATGTTTTAGTGCTTGCTAAGTAGTGCTTATCCTAAGTTAAGGATTTTTCAGTTTCCCATGCACTGCCAGCGAGCAGGTGCACAAGAAGCTGGGAGGGAGCATGGCCAGCAGAGCTGACCTGAACTAGCAAAGGGATATTCCATACCATAGAACATCCTGCCCAGTATATGAACTGGGGGGAGTTGGCCAGGAGGGGCTGATCGCTGCTCAGGCATTGGTCAGCTGGGGGTGAGTAACTGCACTGTCTTCTTTTGGGTTTTATTTCTCTTTCTCTATTATATTCCTTATCATTACAATTATATTGATATTATTATTAAAATTTTAGTTATCAAACTGCTCTTATCTCAATCTGCAAGTTTTACTTTTTTTCAATCCTCGCCCACATCCCACTGGGAGGGGAGGGGAGAGGGAAGCCGCATGGCGTTTAGTTGCTGGCTGGGGTTAAATCATGGCAAAGCACACTTTCTTATTTGAAACTGAAATGCGCATCCTCCACCAGGACCGTGGGTACTGAAGCATGTCTGGGGGCCTGTGCCTGTGTGCACGGGTTACCTGAACTACAGCGACATGCAGCACTGAACAGCGTTCACCCAACTCCAGGGGGGCATCCTACCATGGCTTGTGCTTAAGGAGAGCAATTGTGAATTGATGAAACTTTCAATCCAAGTCCATTTTCTGAGGCCCTGGATTCACTAATTAATTGTTAAGGGATCCTGAAGCACACAAACATTATTAAAATATCCTACATTTTCCTGAAAGATCTGGAAAAAAAAAGAGCTGCTACTCTAAGGGTCAACTGCAAATCTTTTTACTGGTTAGGATGTTTTGCTGTGTTTGTATTTTTGCTTTGTTTTGGGATTTTAAGGACAGAAATTCTTTCTTCTCTGTACCTGATGGATTCTTAATGTACCAGGAACCCTGAATGAGTTTGCTGCAGACCTTTCTCCTCTTGCATACCATATTTTACTGTAAACACTCAAAATATTTGATACACCACTAGCTCAGACTACTGTATCATTGAATTTTATTAAATATAATGACCACAAACCTCAATCCCTCCTTGTATGATTTTGTCATTTTAATGTGTTTAGTCCTCTTTATTCCTGCTGTGACTGTGGCTAAATGGCATGAAAATTACCCTGCAGATGAAATTCAAATGACCCACCGGAGACTGCATCTCTGTTTTAATGTGACTTTCTTCGCCCTTGCTGCCCTTGCCACTAAATTCTTCAAGCTAGGTCCTCATATTCACAGGTGCTATTTTCCCCTGGCAGCCAGATGCCTTCTGTGTCATACTGGTTTTCCTTTCTCTTTCTCCTTTTTTATTTTCTCACAAAACTCACAAAATTCATTGGGGTAGAGTAAGATTTCTGATCAAAACCACATCTGTAGGAGTAAAACATATAAAAATAATTTCCCTAATAGAAAAGAGCACTGAAGCTAATTCTAATTGTACTATTTAAAATATGGAAGAAATAATAATATTTTAAAAATGTAATAATCGTACACTCCCCTTTTTATACTGTCCAATAATCCATTCAAATCTTTCCTCAGATGTATTATAACTAAGTGTATGCGACTTTGTCTATTGTTAAAAACTAAAATGCAGGTTCTTCACTGTGAAGACAGGTTTGCATTGGCAGCTGAAGCTTTTTTATGGGGCTGTGCCGATGTACCTGAGCTGCCTGGACTAATGAAGGAACAATATTGAAAAATAACTGAAGATCAATAAAATCAGTCAGCCTACCCATTATGCAGAATAGACAGCAATCAGTCCAAACTCCCAGGAGAACTTTTTAGGCATCAACCAGGAAAGCTGGTTCCTGAGGCACCTTGTCACCCCTCCACTTTCATTTGCACACTCTGATTTGCATTCCCTAATGACAGCAGGCAGCAGATCTGAACATTCATCTCTACCCACAGCCCCTGTGAGGGACCACAAAGCCATCCTGAGCCTTTGTACTTCAGAGTGAGCGGTGTTCTCTTTATTTGGGTGACTCAATAACCATGGCAACATTTTGTCTGGTTTGGCTTTGACAAGCCCATCCAATTTACTTTGGAGCCTGCATTATCATTTCCTCACCTATACCAACCAAGTTATCGCTGAATGCATTCCCCAGACCCTCATATACTTAGCATTCCCACTGAGATCAGCAGTTTATTTTCTTCACATACTTTTTCTAGCTGAATAGCCAGCACAACACTGCTCTGCTCCAGCTCATGCCAAACTTCCCTGCTAACACATGCCTGCCCGATGCCGACTTATGGGTATTGCCTTACTGTCCATGTATCTGGGATATTTTTATTTAATTATTTTCTTTTTGTCTGAGATAATAACATTGGCAGCAAGTGGGAAGAAAGCCATTATTTCTGAATTCAGGCATTAACCTGAGTGCTTCTATTAGAAGCAACACTGCAGCTAAACCCCACCCAAATCAGTGAGTATCTGATGAATTTGACCTTTGACAGTGGGATAACAAGTGCATTGAGACATTTGCAAAGCTGAATCTTCCTAGTAGCTAAATGGCAGGTGAGCAGAAGAGTGCAAAATAAAATAAGAAAAAAATGCACCGATGTTTCCAAAGAACAAAAATGTATACCATGGTTTTACACATCTTTAATTGGCTGCTACTTGGGTGAAGGAACTATTGCCTAGCAGCTCCATGGATTTCATTAAGCCCTTCGGGCCAGCTGATGTATCACAGAGTTAGCAAGGTCTACATTTTTTCATCCGTTTTTTCATTTAATTTGTTTAATCCATGTTTCTTTCTACTCTCAGCTGACTGCTAGAAAGCCTGAGCCCCCCATACTCCTCTTCCCATGTTAGAGTGTTATTGGAAGCAGAAGACAAAAATCTCCTATAGTTATTGTGGAGAAAGTTTTTGTACTTACTAAATCTTTCTGGCTTAATCACATTTTCAGCAATGTTCTGTAAGAAGTACAAGTATTTATCACCACTTTGTATTTAAAATATACAGCAGAAATCCCATTGTAGCCATTTTTTCTTTGCAAAGGTGCCATTCTTTCTTTTTGTATGATGGCAGTGATGGCAGGAGAGTTGTCTAGAGTGAAATATAATGAAACACTGTCTCTAGACAGGACTTCAGTCAAGAGTGCTTGGTAAGAAATCTTCATCAGCAAGCTGCTTCCTAGCTGAAGTTGCTAGAGATATGTTATAACCAACACACTGGTTCGTAATGAACTTCCTTGCCCTGCTTCCCACCCCCAGAAATCTGTGGTGGCTGCTAGCTGAAAACAGTCTTCTGCATTCACATATTACATGTAAACAATCTGAAGTGTTTCTGAAAATATTTATTGTGGTGGTTGCTGTTGAAGATTCTTATCTTAGAAAACGCAAGTTGCAAACAAAACAGACCATAGCTGTTTACAAACAGCCTACAAGTACTTCCAGAAAGCTTGCTATTCGGATCTGCAGGAATTGGGAGATACTATGCAAATGATCTGAAGTGCTCACAAGTTCTTTATAACACGAAAAGCCTTTTGAAAGATCTTTGAACCCATTATTGGAAACCAGTATATCTCACATCCACACAAATTTAGCGTGATGAAGGCTTGAATGTCTCAAATGAAAACACACATCTGACACTAACCGTCTGCTAGAGCATTCTTCTTTCTTACCTAAATGCAAAGTCAAGAACAGTGACAAAAAAAACCCCAAAAAATCGCTAGAATGATGGACATATTTAGACAGAGAACTATCTTCAGCTCTATCTGACTATTCTGACTCTTCTGCAAATTGCCTTGGGGGGAAAAAAAAAAAAAAAAAAAGTTCAGCTATCCATTGCTAGGCTACTTATTGTTACTTACTGAAAAAATACATGAGAAAATTGTTCTGACAAGGAAAGTGCTATTACCAGCTTCTACAAGCAAGAGCTAATGTTCAGGCTCAGTGTATTTAAAATATACTTTGTTCTAGAAGAACATAATAGACATCAAGTATGTTTTTTGTCAATTATTTCTAGGGTCTAAGTTTATTGCTCTGTTACGTTGGCCCCAACACCTGGGCATTACTACAGCTTGTTAATAGGTCCACACTATCATATACAATTAATTATGGAAAAACAGGAACTCTGCTTACAGGAAAAGGAGAGAGATCTCACTAAAAATTAAAAGGAAACAAAGGAAACTATGGAATGTCATCAGCAATATATTAAAATCAGCCTGTCTTGGCCAAAAACTGCTAAAGGCCATCCCTTTACATAGTGAATTATTTGTGTAAGCTAAACAGAAGTACGATGAGAGTTATGAGGAACTGCCAGCTTCTAGAGCAAATGATATAGATCTAGGTCCACCCTTCAATTTGTCTGTGGGCTTGTCTTGTTTGCATAGGTTTGTATGTTGACTTAACTAGTACATATGGCCATTTTCCCCAAAGGAAGTTCAGATATTGAAGTAATTGTGATGGAAAGGCACAGATGCATAAGCCAGGGAAATAACACAGCCCCTGTTTGTACCTTGTAAAACATAAAATAAATTATTGATGTATCTTACAAACAACCACATATTAAACAGTCTGGCAGTTGGTTTTTTATCTAGTAAATATCTGCAAAATTAAACACTTGAAAGCTTTAAATAAAATGCATAAATAACAATACATATGCCTTCCTAAATAAAGATGAAGAGAGAAATTAAAACTAAGATATTTTAATATACTCAACCCCTCTCAAAGGGAGAGTATTCATCAACAAATACGATGGCCAGGTGAGAGGAGCTGTATGAAAGGTGAGCCTTTATAACTGTCTCCCCTGTGGTGTAGAAAGGCTTAATTTTGAATTATTTCAGAATAGAAACTAACTTTTCTCAGGGAGTTGTTGTCTAGGAAACCAGTTTCCGTGTTTCACTGTGTGAAGAGATTTTCTTGTGGGACTTCACCCCTGTGGTGTGACATGAAGTTGATTTGGTGGGCATGTGATGTTACCACACAAGTACACAGCCTCACTACAAATACCAGTGGAGGCTGAGAGCTTGAACCACTGCTCCAGTGGAGCCCCGTGCCAGGTGCACTATGTTCAGGGGCTTCAGGTTCTCACAGCACCTGTGCGTGTTCACTGTGACTCTGAGCTGAACCACAGCCCTGCCTTTTCTCAGCCTTTCCTGACTCCCACCCTGCATTTCTTTCTATTTCCCTGTCAGTTTTTTAAAATGACCAGACTGCGATGAATTTGGAAATTGTTTGTGATTCAACAGCCTTGCACCAGACTTCTTCTGAGCCTTAAAATAAAAAAAAAAAAAAAAAAAAAAAAAAAAAAAAAAATT